CCAGACATTAATGGAAGAAAGCTTTGAGGAAATAGAGTCCTACAATTATCCCATAGTCAAAGCAACGTTCGAGGTTTTTACTTGCTGTAAAGGTACACAATGCTAAAGATGAAGAACCCCGCCATCTGGAATTTGTCAAATGTCTTCGTTAGGTTGAAACATAACAATAATCGTTCAACAAACAAGATTTTGGATGCATAATTCAGAAATATTGTTAGACTCAAACTCAGTAAGATATATTACCATAGAAAATGAAGCTCCGTAATAGGGAAAAGCTGTCGTTATGAATCTCTCATATTCGTTGTGTCGGAAGGGTCTCACTGGAATCTGAAAAAAAATTGTCAAAATCTCATAATGTAACACAAGTTACTCATAGCTTGCTTTAAAAGGACGGGTGTTGGTTAGCTTGTAACCCTTGTATAGAAGAACAAATCAGAGTTTGGGCAATTTACATTTACGTTCTCACTTTAATGCTCTTCTTTATTTTTACTATTCTTTTTTATGGTAAGGGTGGAGGGTGGGTCTTGAACCAACACGAGGCAGATACACATATTTAGCCCCTGTTTGACAACTATTCTTTCAAAACTCTTTGTTTCTCATACTCATTTTCAACCACACGTTCTCAAATAAAATATTTTTCACGTAAACCCAAAACTTTTCCCAATTTTTTAACCCCACATTCTCCAAAAATTATTATTCAAAAACTGATTCTTTCCAAAAAAATTCTGTCAAACAGGGACTTAGTTTCTTCCAGCATCCATGTTTGCCTCTAAATGTATAAGATTGTGCAGACAATTCCTCCCCTAGCATTGTGAGAATAACAGAAAATGCAAAATAAGGACCGCCAAAAATTTCTCTTTCGCATTTAGCATGAACTTATTTCATATCAAACAAAATCCATCTACCAGCCCAATATGTAGATACTCCTTGCAGTTCATTTTGAAGTGAATAGCTAGGCACAGATCAAGTTTAGGACACAAAATTTATAGATTCCTCACCTATTTTACCCAAAAAAGTAGAACACAGGCTCCAATCCCACTTTAAATAAAGGGATGGTTTTGCAAAGAGAGCAACAAAATACACATTCCCCTCATTTGCGATTATTTGGAAACATCCATGAAAAGGGAAGGTGTCCGTTCATATTGAATGTAAGGAGCACAAGCACGTGCACGTGCATGTGTATGTTTAATTTGTTTATTTTTAAACAACTATAGCAAGAAATTTTTTCATCTTGAACTGTTTATTAGGCGCATTTCGCTGGCTTACCTGCTTTGAAAGTGAGAGGCTAGTGTATCCAAGCCTTTGATACTCAACTTTGAACTGGAAAACTCCATATACATCTGGTACCTTGAAAGAAGTGTGATAGAGCCCCTGAAGCAGAAATGTATAAATATGTGAAACGGGGAATCTATGTAAATATGGATATAAGTTTGTCTGTAACCTTCTGATTAGTAGACAAGGTTTTCAAGACATAGGGGCTCATCATGTAGAACTGCACTTGGACGTCATCCGCAACATATGATACCCAGCTAGAACCAGTCCACTCAAAGATTTCAACAGAGAATTCCTACAAGAATATCAAACTCGTAAGAAAATGGAAGTTCCATTTTTTGTAATTCCTTTTTAATCTATTGTTCACTGTCTTTCTTTTTCTTTGGGAGGTGGAAGGTTTGAATCGCAAAGTTTTTCCACCTGACAGGCTCCATTATGTTCATTTTCAAAGCAGGACACGATCAAATATGTGGAATTACCAGATCATCATTTATCCTATACATTGAAGGTTCCTCTGTTCCCCCAACCTTGTTGTGCTTAAGATTGACAGCCTGAGACAATCAATCATGAGTTAATCAACTATGTAAGTGGATATTTTCCTTTCTTTTCTGAACAAATCAAAGAACCTATAGAAGCACAACTTAGTATGCAAATAGGATATACGATGAGAATACTATATGGACTAATATAGATTACCTTCAGATGACCCCTCTCATGGAAGACCCATTTGCCGAGTTCAGTGACAAACTGCTCATTACCAGATTTCTCATATCTGTTAGCATGATTTATAATTCCATCAGTAGCAATCCATAAATATTTTCCACCAAATCGAAAAAAATCCAGATATAGTGTTTTGAACATGGAAACGAGCAATTTATTTGCCCAGTTTCTTCACCAATTTTTGCATCGAGAACAATAAAATTTCGCTACAAAAACCAGTGGCATCAATTGAATGGTCCCTAATCTTTCAAATTTACTGTTTCAATTTTGAATAATAGAAATTCATTTTATCTTGCAGTCATTGGCAAGGATAATATAATATGCAGTGAGCTTCTGGCTGTAAAACAATTCTTCTCTTTTCCTGGCAGATATTGCATAATAGTCCATTCTACCTCAAGAAAATATTATAGAACCTAACTAGATTGGACTAAGAAATTAGCTTAATTTCTAAAGGAATAAGATTTCAATTTTCACCCATTGATTTCAGTCCAAATCTTACGAGGTAAGTTCGAACTGAAGAACAAGTTTACATAGCCTAAGTGCAGAGAAGTAAAGAACTGATATAGAAATTAGTGACAAGCTTCACTGACTTGTATGAACTCCCAGCCTTCTGCACTCCTGATCTGAACAATCTAGTACATGCAAAGAAACAAGTGGTTAATGGTAAGAACGTGGGCTTTTATGGTGATAATGGTAAGAACCTTTTCCTTAAAAGAGGAAATGAAAATACAACATATACAGAATAATCATCATGGCTGAGAAACTACATACCGGTTGCTGAACAAGTCCAAAGAACCAGAGATAATAATGCGTGCATTGTTTCTAGCCTGTAATTTATGAATATCAA